GTGTGTGTGTGTGTGTGTGTGTGTGTGTGTGTGTGTGTATGTTTGCATGCGTGTGTTTAGGGTGGGAGGGGATGAGGGCGGGGGTGGGAGTCACAGCCTAATTCTTGAGGAAAATGTGGAAGAAATTAATCTAAATTACAAGGATGAAGCTAGTCTGGAGTCTGGGTCTGGAAGGGCTACAGAGAAAAGGACAGCAGTGTGGGCAGGGGGGTGGGTGGGTAAGCTTTACTCCTGTTCTTCTCTGTATGCTGGTTTTCTTTTCTTTTTTTGACTTTTTTTCTTCTTCTCCTTTATCTTGTGGGAATGAAGTGGCCTGTCTTCCTTCCTTTATGGCTTGCCACCCAGACACAGCTCCTTAACTTGCTCACGCACAGGCCTCTTCCCAATTACTTAGCATTGTATCCGCTGCCGGTGTAGACAGTCGCCTCAATCCCTGCTCTCCTCCTGGTGCTCTCTTCTCACAGACAACAGATGTCTTCGTTTCTCAGGGAACACGTCCCTTTTTGCAGGCCTCTTGCAGCTTCAGCCAAAACTTTAAGACTCAAAATAAAGACTTTGCGTTTTCTCCAAATTTCTAGGAACTCTAAGCTGATCAAAGAAGTTGACGCTCAGACACAAATATAGTTAATCAATAAAAAAAAAAAACTGCAGTCTTCTCTTTTTACCGTGACAAAAAAACAGAGAAATTACACAGGATGGTTGCTGCTGCTCATCTTATCTAATGAAAAACATATGGCACCCCCTCCGAACCAATGTGCAAGAGAATCTTGTTCACCTTGGTTTGAGAGAGAGCGGTAATTGGAACAAGCTGTTCGGGCAACAAACAGGCCTGTAAACACAAAATACATTGTACTTTACTCGCAGTTCTTTTTACTGGTTTGCTTTAGACCAAATCATGAACATATAGGGGCAGGATAAAAAGAGATCACATATGTGGTCACGCTGGTCACTCTGAAGTTTCGTCTCAAGACGTTTCTGGTGATCAAAAGAAAAAACAAACATCTCAGAAGAGAAACATTTGCTGCTCATTATTGTCATTAAAGGGAACATGGATTAACAGGATTACAGATCAATCTGGTTGAAAGTTTTTAACCAACTTTGGCCCATGTGTGTGTGACTTCCAAGGCTAGTGAATTGAGTTTGAGCATGTGTGGCTAAAACAAGAATAAAGTCCACTGGTAATTAAAAAAAAAAAACGTCTCAGAAACCTTCCATACAGTTCCCACTGTCTGTGACACTCTGATTGTGTACAATCATAATGAAGACAAAATGTACATATTGATACATTTTCCTGTAATATCTGTTTTAATAAAAACATTTCTTTTGTTTTTTTTTGGTAACAGCTGCTAAAAATTAGTTTTAGTCTAAAAAGTACTCTAACACTTGGACTTAAAGTAAACTATAATTGGACTGGAAGCAGTTTATCTCAATGGTGAGCTCCACTCAGGCTAAGTTTAGAACACATGACTATGTCCGCTTGACTCTGGTGAGAGTACAGAGCTCCATTGATTTTAATCACAGAGAGACAGTTTATCTGTGTTTAATGTTTCGTGGTCTTCCCTGGGAATACCACAAAACATCGTGTACTTGTAGCAGTGACTCAAGATACAGACATTGTTCTCAAATTGAAGGAGTTTTTTTAATCACTTCTCCTAAGTTAAAATGCTAGCTAACAGTTAGATTCATGCGATGGGATGAGATGAATTTGACCGGGAAAAAAAGTGCAACTGTTTCATATATTTACTTCTGCTTTCACTGATTGCTTATCTAAAATGTTGTACAGATTGTACTCACAATAATATTGTAAAGCGTGAACTTGAAAAATGTAGAATTGCATTGAAATTTTATTTTTTACATTCTGCAAAATAAGGCAAGGTACGAAAAAAAAGAATGCTAAATCTTTACAATTAAATTTTTTCACAAAGATTGTTTGTATTAATTCATCTAGTATGTGTTAACATTTTTGGCAGCTAAAATAATAATAATTAAAAAATTCAATACAAAATTATAAAAAAATACTTTATTTCTGGAATATAGACACAAAATAAATGAAAATAGAAACTGTCAATGATTTGATTTTAATATAACTGACAAGAAAAACAAAACAAACAAAAAGTAAAGGTTAATTCTGTTTTCCTGTAAAAACTGTGGGACCACAGCCAGTGACAGTTGTGTTTGAATCAGTCACAGTGTAATGTTCTACATTTGAAACTAGAGGGTCATTCGCCTGTTTTGATTTGTTAAAAGCATGAAATGCATGCTATTGTTTGCTGTTGAAACTAATATTCGTACTCTGACTTGAAAACCTTGAAATCAACTCTAGCCCATCGTTTACAGGCGACCAAATCTTCGATTGTCTCAAACAGACAAAACATGAAGTTTAAAAACTTGTTAACTTGTGATTCTTTAACATCGACAGTAATCCAGGTCATCCCACGGTACAAAAACAACCAGTCATCTTGATGCACATGATGTGAGAAAACAGTGAAAGACTTTTTTAAACCATGGAGATGACGCTCATGGTATACATGCACATGTGCGTTGTCCTCACTTCAGAGCAGGAATGCCCATGGGCAAGAACCAGCCTTTATGGTTCAGCTAAAGGTAAAACTCATTACTCTGGTTGACAGTCACTAACCAGCTGTACTTCATGGTTTTAGCTTTAGCCTTAGGCGTTTTGACTTTCTACTAATAAAGAGCAAAAAAGAGACTGCAATGTAGTAAATTTAAAAAAGGGGGGAAAGTATATTGGAGACAAATAATAGATACATGAAAAAACAAAAACAGGGGCAGACAAATTGAGAGGATGAAAACAGAATTGCATAATTTTCACAGAAAAAAGCACTCCTTAAAAAAAAAAAAATATAAAAAACAAACTCAACGACCTTTGTTAGAGAACAAAACCAAAATGTCCTTATTAAGGTGAGTTGTAGAAATAAGATACAGCCAAATGAAAAGATACATATCTACCAAAGCGGGAGAAAATAGTAAACATGTGAAGCCAAGCTGCTTTGAATGGATTTCTTTGACAACAAATGCTTCCAGTATGGAGTGAATCATTGTAAAACCACATTCATTTCCTGCCAGTGTTTATCCAAAGAGGGATGAGATACAAAGCTGTCCAGACTTGTTTGCAGTGTGCAGCGCGGGGTAGTAGAGGGAGATGTGCTCAGAGACAGCGTAACATCTTACTAACTTACTCCATGATTAATAATGTTACTCATCCCTTTAATATTTACCAATAAGAGACCTGCTAAGTTTGTTTAACAAAATTTGAGAAAATCCTTCATGAGCGATTTAAACAAAGAGCAACAATGTTCTGTTTTACTCACTTCTCCCTCCCCTGCAGTTTATCCAACCCATGTTTAGCATATGGCAGCCGAAAACTTGCGTGCCTCAATTTTGTTGGACGTTACAGCATTGGAGGAAGGTAGAGAAAACAGTGGTGTTTACAGTACCTTCCCCGTGGCATCTGGCCACAATGCTGTTGTTAAATAAAGAGGAAAAAAAATGGTGATGAAAGGTGTCAGTGTCCCTTGTCAGATTGGCACGTTTCTTCTTTAAACATTACACAAAGCAAAACAGAGAGAGGAGGAAAGTGAAACGGCTGAT